GCTGGTGTGTTTGTTCAGTTAAAAAAAGTCCACTTTGTTCTCCTCAGACCAAAGAACCTTCTTCCATGTCTTCTGGGGAACTCTAGTCCAGATTTAATATGAGCTTTCTCCAACCTTGTATCGACCATGAGTTTATGATGAACAGCAATGAAAGGGGCTCAGTAACAGAGTTAATCAGAGGTGAACTATGAGTTTGAAGGATGAATATCGTTGTGTCCTGGTGTTCGTCCTCCTGATCTTCGTCCTCGTGCTTCTGTCTTGTGTCTCTTTAGAAGCTGCAGGAAGTTGCGTTTCCTCGGAGAGACGAGCTGAAGAAGCGTCTGGAGGAGAAATACAGCAGACAGCACAGCGAGTACCTCAGAGCCCAGGTGAGTGTGAACCAATCACAGCGCAGCACACAGGACTGTCAGCGTCATGCAGTAAAAGTACACAGGCAGCTGCTAGTCTGTTCACTCAAACCAGCAGCGGATATTATTGTTTACTATTACTCCAAAAGCTGAGAATACTTGTGTACTTTCACTACACCAAGCTGGTAGCGCTTGTACATTTACTGCATGAAGCTTAGAATAGTTATTTAATTGTACCACATAAATTTGATAGTACTGTGTACTTGTATTGCGTTAATCTGACGTTCAGTTGACGCTAAGTGTTTGCTTTAACTGAAAAAGCAGAGAAAAGTTGTGTACTTTTCCTACATGTCGCTGACAGTGCTCATACATTTACCACCTGAAGCTTACAATATTCATGTTCTTTTACTAAATAAAATAGATAGTGCCTGTGTACTTTTACTACACAAAGCTGATCGTACTGTATACTTGTACTATAGAAAGCTCATAGTACTGTGTACTCTTACATTTCTGCAGTACTGTGTACCTGTACTGCATTAAGTTTGCAGTACTCATATACTAGTACTGCTGTGTCCTCAGAGCCAGGCCGTGGTGGTGGGTGGGTGTGGCCAGCAGCTGCAGCGGCTCTCCCTATTGGACGAGGACAGGAGGCGGTTCTTAGAGGAGGAGCGCCGGCGAGTCGCGGCGCTGCGACAGATGCAGATCGAATCAGAACAGTTTCGCTACTTTGAGGACCAGCTGAGGCGGCAAGAGCTGGCCAATCGGAGAGGAGAGGAGGCGGAGCAAAAGGTAGCAGCCGCAACACTTGGTTACTACCTGTACTACTGCTGCTAGTACTACTGCTGGTACTGCAACTCCTACTAGTAGTAACAGTGTAGTACTATGCAGATTCAGTAGTACTGTGTAGTACTGTGACGTACTGTGTCGTACTGTGTCGTACTGTGTCGTACTGTGTTGTACTGTGTAGTACTGTCATACTGTGTAGTACTGTGTAGTACTGTGTCGTACTGTGTCGTACTGTGTAGTACTGTGTTGTACTGTGTAGTACTGTGTCGTACTGTGTAGTACTGTCATACTGGGTAGTACTGTGTAGTACTGTGTAGTACTATGTGTCGTACTGTGTCGTACTGTGTAGTACTGTGTAGTACTGTGTCGTACTGTGTCGCACTGTGTAGTACTGTGTAGTTCTGTGTAGTACTGTGTCGCACTGTGTAGTACTGTGTAGTACTGTGTCGTACTGGGTAGTACTGTGTCGCACTGTGTCGTACTGTGTCGTACTGGGTAGTACTGGGTAGTACTGTGTCGTACTGTGTCGTACTGGGTAGTACTGGGTAGTACTGTCATACTGGGTAGTACTGTGTAGTACTGTGTAGTACTATGTCGTACTGTGTCGTACTGTGTAGTACTGTGTAGTA